AAGGGGCAGGGGCCTTCTCCCACCCTTCCAGCCGTTCAGGGAGCCCTCGTAGCCAGCCGTATGAAGGGCTTCCCTGCTGCTGGCTGAGCTGCGAGGAGGCGTCCAGGGGTCTGTGTAAGAGTTGGACCGGGCCTTCATCTCCTCCCTCAGGATCAGCCTGCCGATGCCGCTCTGGATCTGGACACCGAGGAAAAGCTGCTTTGCACCTCTCCTTTCATGGCGCCATTCCCTCCCCACCATCCTGCGCCCCTTGTAGGCATGGGCTCATCAAATCCCATCTGCTACCCCTTGCCCAGGGCCGGGACAGTGGTGGTGCCTCAGCAAGGGCCCATCGAGGTGGCTGTGAGGAGGGAGATGCCAGAGAGCCCCAGGGGCCACAGTGGCCCCTTTCCAGCAGGGAGCAGGACAGAGTTAGCCGGGAGAGGTCAGCCCCTTGCGGGACTTCTCCCCACACCTCTCCTCTGCGGACACCTTGCTGCTCAGTCCTCTGCCCTCCCTAGCAGGCTGCGGGCAGGGAGAGTCACTCACCTTGTGCATCCCCCGCTCGTACCCGTCCTCCTCGCCTCCTGATGAGAACCTCCGGGCCCGAGGCGCTGCAAGGAGATACACGGTGCGCTCAGACTGGGGCAAAGCCAGAGGCAAGTGGGGAGCAGACAGTCCCCAGCTGGATGAGGACAGACAGTTCCCAAGGGTTGCTCTGGCAGGATCTCTGCCATCCCTCCTTCTTAAGGGTCCAAGCCCAGCATGGAGGTCTTGGGGGAAGTCTCTCCCTGGACATGGCTGGTGTGGGGGCAGGAATGGGTTTCCCTGAGTTCAGCATTGCTGCGGATGGGCCATTACCTTTGGGGGACCCTTGAAAGGACCAGTACTCTGACTCCGAGTGGTAGTAGGGGTCCGGGGAGTAGACAGGGCTGTACTTGGATGACTGTGCGATGTCTTCGCTGGTTTTGCTTTTTGTGGCTGCAGGGAGGTTGTCTGCAAAAGGAGTGTGGAGAGCTGTAACAAGGACCTCTACTCCCTCTGGCAGGACTTGCAAAGATCCATCCTGGGATGAAGACAAATCCTCTTCCCTCCCCTCTCCCCAGTGCTTGGCAGCAATTTGTGTTCGGGACAGCAAGGAACAGAGCTGGAAATAATCCATTTTCAAACTGCTGGGCAGCTTCTGGAGACAAGGAGGCAAAGGCAGCTGGTGGGGACAGTCACAAACACAGAGTCTGTCACCAGTGTGGTTGGGAAGGGACCCAAATGGCTCATAGTCCCAGGCCAACAGCAGTAAGCCAAGTTCTGTGTCCTGCATAGGGCTCACCCCTTCCCCAGGCACCAGTGTCCCTAGTGTCCCCCTGCCAGTGACAATGACAGGCTGGCCTGTCACCAAGAGATGGCAATAACTGCACAGGCATCCAAGCGGGACTCCAGAGGGAAGGGATGGAGGAAGGCACATGCCCTGCAGGTTCCCTGCAGTGGATCTCAGTGGGTTATTGCTGGGGGAAGGCTGAGGTGGGCTGTGTAGTGGGGGAAGCGAAGGTGTGAGCCCCAGCATCTCCATCTCTGGCAGGGGCTCATCTCCCCCGGGGTGAATCCACGGCTATGCATGAGAAACCCAGCAGTGATCCCTGCTCCTCGGGACCATCTCCTCCTGCCCTGCCATGGAGGCTACTTCCCTGTCCTTGGGGCTGTGGGCAACTGCCCTTGGTGGCTGCCTGGTGCCCCACTGGCAGGCAAGGGCACCCCGGGTAGGCACGAGGAGCTGGGCTTTTGGCAGAGGCAGGGAGGCGCAGGCAGAGAGCCACCCTGCCACCTTGAGCCCTCACTCCTGGCACAGGGCAAACAGCAAACAGCTACTTACAGCAGTGGGTGCAGCCAGCCAGCGGGACATTAGGGCAGATGGGCAGGTGGGAAAGGAGAGCCCACAGAGAGAGAAAGGAGACATAGAGTTATTGCTTTGTGGGGGAAGCTCCTCTCCCCTGTGCATAACACAAGCCAGGGAGAGTGCAAACCAGCCCTGCTGAGAAAGGCCCAGGCCAACACCAAACACCCCTATGCCTGCACTCTTCCCGCCCCTCAAACTCCCCCTTGGGGCCCATTTCAGCCTGAGGCATCCATCCAGGAGGGGCAGTGATTTTTCCCATGGTTCCACATAAAATTGTAATTTACTTTCTTCATCCCATTCCTGAGGCTGCTCTGACTCCTGGCCTCAGCAAGCAATGGTCACCCTCATCCCCGCTCCCATCAACCCCTGTGGCCTTGTGCCCTCCCACGGGCTCTCCCAGCCCTGTCCCCTGTGCTGCCGATAGTCTTCGCTTCTCTGCTCCCCCGCTGCAGCCCTCCACATCCCTCTTCTGATAACCCTGGGTGAGAGCATCCCCTGCTGTCACCCCTTTTGGGCACTCCTGACACTGGGGATGAATTTCAAAGGCTGCCTTTTTTCATGCTTAAGCTTGTGCTTCACTGCCTAGAGGAGATGTAGGAGCATCAATCCACCAAACACCAATCCCCAGCATCTCACCTTTTTCCCTTCTCATATCTGCTACCATGTCCCGCTGACTCCTGCCTCCCCAACCAATACCATCTCCGCACCCCTGCTGGCCTCACTCTAGCTCAGCCAGACCAAAACCCATGCTGTTTCGCTGGGCTCATGACCAGTGCTCTGTCTAGCTTTCCTAACAAACTAGAAACTCATGAGAAGAAGGCAGACTATACCGTGTCGTTTATAGATGGGGGGCTTCCGGTAGATGTTACTCTCGCCGGCAGCTGGTGGAAGAAGAAAGAAAGAAAGGCAAGAAAGAAGGAAAGAAAGAAGAAAGGTGAGGTCAGTATGAGTTTGCTGAGAGGGGACAGGACAGAGGTCCTGCAGGAGATGTTCTGCCCACGTCGCGTTTCCATCACGCTCGACTGCCTCCAGGTCCAGGTGTCCTACACCAAGCACGGAGCTGGGCCAGGGCCAGGCTGGCTCAGGAGACGGCAGCGAGCAGCGTGGTCCCTCGGGACTGAGAGCCTCGGTGCTGGGGGGTCGGCAAAGAAACCCTGCAGGGCAGCGGTGTGCGCACAGAGGACATGCAGCGAGCGCCCGAGTGTCAGCATGCACCTCAGGGCGGCAGACGCTTCTCCTCCTGGCCCTGCTCATGGCTCTCCTCTCAGACCAAGGAGCTGGGGAGGAGAGGGAGAGGGCGCAGCAAGAAACCACTGGCCCTGCCCTGGGCAGGCACACAGCACTACGGCTCTTTCTGGTGCAGTTTCTCAGGGAGTGCCAGAGCCTAGAAGAACTGTCCATGATCTACCTGAGGGCAAAACAAAATTAGCCAAAGCCTCTTTCCACAACAGAGACAGAAAAGAGTGAGCTGGGAGGAGAAAGCAACCTGGAGCCTTGCAGTGAGGCTACTGCCCCTGCGCAGGGGCGAAGCAGCTGAGCTGGCGAAGCAGCGAGGGGGCCATCCATAAACGATCGACTGTCAGCAGGACGGCAGGCCAAGGCGGGCAGGTCGCGGGGGGGGGACAGGGGATGGGAGCAGGGGACCGTGGTGGGGAGCCTCAGGCTGTCCTCCTGGCTTGTGGTCATGGTGCTGTCCCAGGGTATCGGCTATTTGGGCGTCCCACCCAGCTCTGGTGCAGCGGAGTGCCTTGGAGGAGGGAAGGGGCAGCGGGAGGTGCCTACAGCTGAGCAAGGTCCGGTGTGCATGGCTTGGGGCTACGCGTGCCTGGGGCTGCAGCAGGACACGGAGGGTCCCTCCTGCAGCCCACCTGTGCACACTCCTCCTGCTTCCCCCCCACCTCTCCCCGCTCTGCCCACTCCATCCCCTGTCCCCGTGGGCTCTGTGTGGTCGGGAGAGGGGGGTGGCCCTTACCTGGTGGCCCCCTGCAATCCCTGCAGAAGGGGAGCAGCCATCTGGCAAGCCCAGAAGACTCTGGGGGGAGGGAGCGGCGGGCCCTAGGGGGAGTATAAAATAATCATCTGTAAAGGATGGGAGTGGAAAGGCTCCTGGCAGACAAACTTCACCTCGTGATCCTGGGGGTGGGGGGAAGGCAAGAGAGAGGGCAGGCTCTCTGCAGGGGACTTGTCTGTGTGAGGAGTGGAGGAAGGTCAGGGGAGAGGAGGAAGAGGGACATTGCAAGGATCAGGCAGACTCTGGAAGGCTCTGGGACATCTAGGTGGTGATGGGGAGGGAGGAGAGTTCAAGCTGCAGGTCCTGTTTATGGATGGCCTCTACCAGGGGGTAGACCCTGCTGCCAGCTGGCTCTAGGCAGGTGGTGGAGCTACGCATGCAACACACGGGGAACAGCACATGCGGGCATGCAACAGACACGGTGCTTCCCCATGGGGCCGGGGCGATCCAGAGCCTACCTGGAATGTGGAAATGCTTGGGCGCTTGGTATGAGGTTGGAGTAGATGACCTCACATCTAACTGGCTATAGTAGGGGGAGCTGCGCCCGCTTTCTGTGCCTATGTGGTGCCGAGCAGAAGCAGCCGTAAGTGACCGAGAGAGAGAACAAGAGGCAGAAGAAAATGGGTGTTAAATGCAGCGGTGTTAGATGTGCAGGGAACTACCCAAGTGGTGGGCGAGATGGGAACATGTGCCAGGTCATGGTCTGGGATGGGGTGTGACGGAGTGACGGGAGATTTGCTGCATCTCTAAATGAAGGCAGAATGCAGAGGAAACTCCGCGAGTGGATGCTGTTACAAGGCAGCAGGTTCCCCCATCATTCATGAGGGGAAGGCCGAACACGCTGCAAAGTGAAGGGCCCTTGGCTGTGCAACACAGGAATAACTCCAGGGATGCTGGACCTCCAGCCTTACTGACCTCAGATTTTCCTGTCCGTTCTTCCCCAGCTCTGAACGTCAGGAGACGCAGCACAGACACACTCTGCTTCCTCCCCAGACAAACTCCAGGGGTGTGTTCACATGCATGTGCATAAGGACCCCCTTGCAGCACTGGCTGGGCACAAGAACTCCTGCACACTCTCCCTCCCGGAGTTACCAACCTAGCTGAGGGGCCTTCTCTCCTCCAGACTTTACTGGATCTTGGGGCCACCTCCCTCCTCACCCCTTTCTCCACAAGCCCCAGCTCAGGTCTGGGCCAGGACAAGGCCCCCTTCACCTCTTCTTGCTGCTCGCAAGGTGAGATCAGCAGAACTAGAGGATGCACCCAGCAGTCAGTCACTGCCCACAGCTTCCGTTCCTGCTGGTCCTGAGGAACCGAGCAGGCAGCCTGCATTCTTGGCCCAGCTGGCTTAACCAGGGCACAGACCACAGAGGTCCCCTGGGAGAAGCAGGGGATGGTTTGGTGAGCCCAGCGCCATGGGGCGTCTGAACTTGGCCCAGCCTGGGGGTACTGCCGATATCCTTACCTGAGCGGTAGAAATGGTGCGGGGATCTTGGGATGGTGGGCGACATGCCCTGGCGACTGTAGGTAGGAGAGTCGATGTAGCCAGGGCTGGAGGCTCGCCTCTGCCGGATGTCAATGCTTTCGTAGATGTCCTAGGGGCAGGACAAGGTGTGGAAAGAAGGCCAGGGTTAGAGCAAGTGCCCAGGCTGATGGGACACGGGGGATGTTGGATGGAGGCTGGGAGGTGCCAGCAATGGCAAGACTAGTGCCTCGCAGGCCCCTCTCGTTCAGGGAAGTGTCCTGTGGCTGAGGATCCCAGTGTCCCCGGCAGCCTGGAGGGTGCGAGGTCTCAGGTGTGACACGCTGGGTAGCGTGCATGTCTGTCCTCTACGGGCTGGAGGAGATACCCAGGCTGCTCCTCTCACCTGCCACCTCTTCCTCCTGAGCAGCACTCCCCCACCAGCGCACTCAGCAAGCCCAGGGCCTGGGGCCAGGCGATGCATGTCTGACTGGACCATCTCCCTCCTTTGCTGCCTGGAGACCATCCCTTTCCCCTGAGCTTGTTCCCAATTACAAACGCCCCCCCCTCCACAGCGCAGAAACTATCCACTGGGCTACTCTGTCGCAGAGCGGTGCTGCTCTCCCGGATGGATGGGAGCAGCCCTCTTGGACGAGGGCTTCCACGTCTCCACCACCCACCCAGAGTTTGGCAGAGCTCCTGCCTCTGCAGGGCACAGCAGTCCTGGGGCAAGAAGGAGGCAGCACCGTGGCTGAATTTCCCCCCGCCCCGACCCCAGCAGTGCTGAGAGCTGTTACCTGCGAGTAAGGGGACAGGGCTCCCAGGGACTGCAGGCAACAGGAGGCAGAGGGGAGAGAGAGAGAGAGAGAGAGAGAGAGAGAGAGAGACGGCATGTGATTAATGGGAGCGGTGACAGGCCAGGGTCACGGAGCAACTCATTTTCCCCATGTTACAGCCCACTTAGTGAAAATACAGCCTCATTACAGCTGTCAGGCATGGAGGGTGGCTGGTGGGACAGCAGACTCCAGCAGTGTGTGATAAATAACAGCTTGTCCCCACCTCCACTGCTCAGGGTTTGGGCTGGGGCTCACCCAGGCTCTGCAGCTCAGCAGCCTCTGCTCTGAGAAAAATGCCCAGCAAAGGCAAGAGCAGCCTCCTCCAGCCATCGGCTCTTCCAGCCCTGGATCTCACCTGCCTGCAGATGTCCTCAGCCTCTGTCAAGGCCCGGGAAGCTGGAGAGAGCTCTCTTCTCTCCCCACTCTACAGGGCATCACCCACCATTGAACACATCAGCCCTTTCAGCAGTGGCCCAGTGGAGTCAAACTTCAGAAGCAGCAGTGGGCTCTCCCTGGCAGTGCTCCACCACAAGCTGTGCCTATGCCCTTCTGCCTTGGTGGCACTGTCACTAGGTGGGCTGGAGGAAGCAAGGCTTGTGACAAGCTGTAGGATCGGAGATATAAGGGATGCTGCTGCTGGCCATTACACAAAGCCTCCTCCAGGACCACCTCAAGGGACCCAAATCCTGCCCTCAGGTCCCCTGATCTCCGTGTGAGCTGTGCAGACCCTCTGCTCTCACTGGCTTGGTGAAATTGCCCAGCAGCCCCTGCCTGCCCTGGGGAGCGGAGCAGGGAATCCCCATGCAGCATGCTGCTTTGGCATCATCTCATAAGGTGCTTTGCAATAAGGGACTGATCAACTCCACTTCCTTAGTGCCAGGGCCAGCATCCAACATGGGCGTCCACGCTGGAGCTGGGCAGCCTGGGCTAGCCCTGCTCCTCTCTCCAGCTTCGGAGGAGCAAGCACCTTGCACACAGGTCACAGGATGATGGACTGCTCAGAGTCAGGTTTTGAGCGGAGCTGTTGAGCGCACACTGTGGCACCCTGCTGGCAATCTTTCCCCACCCCGTCCCAGAGGGACGTGTGCTGCTTGCCCCAGGCTCCAGGCTGCAATGGAAAAGCCTCCCTGCCACGCCAGTCCTGAGGATGACTTCTCCTCCCTGCACAGTGCCATCCATCTCTGCCTGTTGTGCTTGCAGCACAGTTTGGGCAGAGCTGTGTAATGAGCAGTTGAGGTTACTGGTTTCTCACTTACTCTACAGCAGCAGCACCAGGGTTTCCCTCCTAACCCAGGCCCTACTCCAGCTGATGCAGAGCCTCTGGGGAGAGGTCTCATCCTCCATCCTGCTTTGCTGCAGTATTTCCATTCAAGTGAGTGGAGCTTCATGCAGTTTGCCCCACCACCCCGAATCGGGGACCTATCCCCTGCCCTGTCCCTGGGGCTCCTGCGGCTCTGCATTGAGCGTATCGAGACTCAGTACCTCCCCATAGCTATATCTCTCCAGCGTTTCATCCGATGTGTATCTGTGATAGGGCTCATACGAAATGAGGTCAGGACGCTGCACTTCATAGATGGCTTTAATCTTGGGAAGAGCTGCCAGGTCTTTGTAATTAAGGATCTCATTATCCACTTTAGCCTAGGGAGAGGGAGAGAGAGAGACAGAAAGGAAGAGAAGGAGAGAGGGAAGGAGCGCACAGTGCGGAGCCGAAGGCAGAGCAAACAGAGCCTGAACGTCACCGCAGCAGAGGGAAGAGGTAAGGAGAGACCCCCCGAGAGGCAGTAGTGGGAAGAGCAGAGGAGCTGGGATTTGGGGACTGTGGGACAACATCTCTCCGAGCACTCTTGGTCTGTTCTAATGACATTGCTGGCAGGACGCATTGCTGGGGTGAGGGCAGCACACCTTGCCCACTCTGTCCCCAAAAGCTGTGCTCATCCCCTGGGGACGCTTCAGGCTGTAGACTGGCATTGGCAACTGTTGCTCCCTTCTCTGAGGCTACCCCAAATCTGTGGCAGGAGCTCTCGTCCTGCCCCAGGTATAAGAAGAGCAGAGCTGTACTTACGCAGATGACTCGGTTTGGGGAGCCGATGCTGGAGCCAGGGGGGGAGATGGAGGTTTCTGATGTTCTTCTGTGCTGTGGAAACAGAAAAGCGGGGAGCAGATGAGAGCCCAGGTGATCCCAGCCATTGCTTGAGTCAATCTGGCTGGGGCATGGTGGCAATGGACCTCCAAGCAGCTGCAAGGCTGTGCACAGTGAGGAAATAGTTTGTATCGCGGCTCTTGCAGGCTGCCCTGCTGTCTGGCTTTGCACAGCCAGCAAGGCCCTGGCTTATTTGGGGCCAAATCTGGATCCAGCCGGACAACCTTGCACTTGGCATGTGAGTGGCCTTGCAAGACACCACAGGCTGCTGCCCCTGAGGCCAGCCCAAGGGCGAGAGGCAGCAGCGGCACGCGGGCTGCGACGGGTTGGCGAGAGGGCTGCTGTGCCCAGCGCCACCTCCCTGGACATCGCGAGGGCTGCTGCCTGCCAGGACGCAGGTCGTTGCTCGCAGCCTGGCGGGTGGCCGTGGCCGGAACTGCACTGCTGGAGTGCAGGCCTGGGGAGCAGGCTTGACTGCTGGTCATCTGTCGCAAGCCAGACTTTGTGCAGAGCGAGGAGTGAGAACTCAGTCTGGCTTATCTGTGATGGTGGGGAAAGGAGCAGAGGCAACCAGCCTGGAGTCCCGGTCTTGGTTCAGAAATCACCGTTGGCTTTGGACACTGCTACAGCAATTCACCTGCAGCCGGGCTGAGAGCCCGGGGGTCAGCGTCATCAGGCCCCCTGAGTGAGGCATCTCTCCCTGCTACCTACCTTCAGTTTCTTCTCTGCTCTCGCTGCCTGCTTGCAGATTGGATGCCACACTTCAGAGCCTGAAACGCAGGGAAAGGAGAGCGTTTTAGCAGCCCAAGCTGGCTGTTAGGGAACATCCAACTGTCTCTGCCATGAGTGAGCCCTGTCCTGTCCCTGCAGGTCCTCCTGCTCCTGCTGTTTTAGTGTGGGGCCCCTCTGGCACTGACCTGGATCCTGGCTGTTCCTCCTAGGGAGAGACGTGTCTGTGCTCTCCCAAGCAGCAGTTACACTGAGACAGCAGGGAAACCTTCACTCCACCTAACCAGCGTCTTGCTTAGGTGTGCAATTCCCTGTTATGTGGGGGACGGCTCCTGGAGAGGAGCAGCCCCACAGGGGCAAGCGAAGGGCTGCAGGTAGGGTTTGAACCATCTGTCCAGTAGGAGTTAGGGGTCAGATAGCGCAGGCAGTGCGCGCACTGACAGCATGGGGACCCCTCAGGATTGGGAGAGATGGACAAACCCCTCGGCTTGGGCTGCACCATGCAGCCTGCATGCAAGTCCCCAGAGCTGCTGCAGCCCCATGCACCCACTTCTGGGGGGTGCTGGGATCCCTAAGGCCATCTCAGGGCAGAGGCAGACAGCTCTCCGCTCACATGCCACTGAGGACCTTGCTCTGAAGAGATGCTTCAAAGGCTGCCCAGACACTTCTGTCCTCACCCCATCTGCGGGAAGGGAGGGAGGCGGGTGACAGGCACCACGAGGCCCTGCGATGGGCCTCCATCTGCTGGGTCCCGCTGGCTTTCCTGGGCGCCTCCTCCATTGCGGCACGGCCATAGGGACGCCCTCGGACGGAAGGCAGGGCAGCGCGGAGACGGCGGCGCCGGCTCTGCAACGCTCCTCCACCTGCCACTTTGGCCCTGATAGATTGCTCCCTCCAACCTTTCCACCTGCTCTCCACAGCCGCCCGGGTCCGGTCGCCTCTCCCCAGCCCCAGTGGCTCCATCCCCTCTGCATCCTCGCAGACGAGCGCTGATGCCGGGCCCGGCTGCGGCAGTGTAATTCACTGCCCGGGGGAGGAAGGGCAGGGGGAGAGCGGAGCCCTCTTGCAGGCACAGGGGTAGTGGGAAAAGCAGAGTCAGCCCAAGGGGCCCTTTCAGCAGCTGGTCTGAGCTCAGGACTGCGTGCACCCTAGTAAATTAAACAGTTCCTGAACACAGAAACTTAGTGGCCAAAGCTAGTGAATTGTGGTGACGGAGCCTGGTGTGGTTTTAGCCCAGCCAGCTGGGCTAGCGTTCAGCTAAACAGTTCCCAGCGATGGGTTCAGGAGGCCGCAGGGACCAGTCGCAGCTCAGAGGCAGCCGCCCTCTTTGGGAGGCTGTAAGAGTTTGACGGCACAGAGAGGTGCCGTGCTGTGCGAAACCGGCTTCAGGCGCTGCACCAGGGAGCGGTTTTGGGTACGACTCATTTACTAGCGGAGAGGAGGTGTCCCGGGGGCCGCCTGGCAGCAGCACGCTGGGCCCCGGGTGCCGGCGGTTTAGCAGGCCCGGCTGGCTGGGCAGAGCCACCCGAGCATGCCGGCCCTGCCGCCTGCCGGGGCCCTTGCTGGGACCCCCAGCCCCCAGGGCTCTTGCCCGGCTCGCCCCGCGCCATCAGCCAGCCAGCTCTGTAATCACCCCTTCCCCACCCACACGGTAATTAGTGACTCAGGGTGTCAGGCTAGCACAGGTTACTGGGAGAAAACAAGCACTCCCTCTGCACTGGAAACAGCCCCCCAGGCAGCCGAAACCAAACCGCCCGGCTGCACCGGCAAAGGCTTAACCCCTCCCGTGCCACTCTCAGCGTAGCCTGGGCGAGGTGGGGAGAACGGGGCGGCGGGGAAGGGGTCCCGGACCACATGCCCTGGGGCTGCTGCAACCATCGCAGCCTCTGCTCACTAGGCACAGGGCAAGGACACATCCAGGCACGTTCCAGCAGCCCTCAGAAGGTTTCGGGGAAGACTCTGAGCGAGCAAAAAGCCACCTTACAAGAAGCAAAGTCTCCTTTAGGGAAATGCCTCCAGGCTCCTGAGATCGCAGGGAGCTGAAAGGGGCAGCATCGGTCCTGTCTGGGCAGTAAGGAACGTTTCACGTATGGAAACAATTGCTGTATGGCCACACTGTTGCCCCCGTCCTGGAGCGGACAGCAGCCCCCTGCACGCGGCCCCCCCCCGCAGCAGGGAGGCAGACGGTGGGCTCTTCCCTAGCTGCGTGCTGGGCGGACAGGCGCAACCCCAGGAGGAGCTCAGGGCTGGGGAGAAGTGGAGAGGTGTCTCTGGTAGCCACAGCTCAGCCAGACCAGCAGGGACAGGCTCAGGGTCGCTGCTGCGTGAAAAGGCCCTTCTGGCATTGATCACCATGAGGATCTGAACCCAAAATGCGCCTGCTTCCCCCCTGTGACAGAGGGGCAACCCCGCTCCAACAGCCAGCACATCTCCGCACAGCCATGCTGGTGGCCCCGGCAGGACGATACAACAGTTGTGCCCGACCCACCAGCCACTCCAGGATGGCACGGGAGCCCCCACCGCAGCAGGATACCCCCCCGTGGCAGCGGGGTCCCTACCTGTAAGGTACATCTCCTCTCCTTCCGTGAACATCTGGTGGCAGCGGACGCACCGGGCGCAGGTGGGGTGGTAGTGCTTCCCTCCTGCCTGCAACGGCAAGCGGAGAAAAGGGGCCCCTGAGCAAGGCGGGAGGTGCTGAGCTGCTCCCGCACCCCAGGGCGAGCGGCCCTGGCAGCCCTCTCTGCTGCAGGCAATACCCACGGGAACGTGGCAAAACTCCTGGGGCAGCCTCAGAGACCACTGCAACACGCAGAGAAAGCCAGGACCTGCTTCATCCAACTAATACTTCTGACCTGCTAGACTACAAAGCACACTAGCAGCCTTTCACTTTCCTTTAACTGTCCGAAATAGCAAGGCCAGGAGGTCCCAAACCCCCAAACAAAGTACTTCTACAAATCTCACCCCTAGTAAATTGTCCTTGGACTCCAGAAATAACTTTGATCCTCTGAAGTAATGCTTAGCTAAGCAACCATGCTTTGCACAAGCGCCTTCCTTTGTAACTCTTAAGGCATTGAAGAAAACTAGCAGGATTAAGGGCTCCATGTCTACAGTCCATTGCTGGGAAGGGAAAAAGATAAACCTTGCAAAGCAAAGGGAACCACAGGCTTCATCCTGAAGCTCAGCCAAGCCAGGGGAAAGCCCAGCCCTGAGGCTGGCTGTCAGAGCCACGCTGGCTGTCATTTCTAGCTCGTCTCCCATGAGCTAAAGAAACTTTTCTGCTGCCTCCCTCCTTCTGTGGAGGCATGCCCAAACTCCAGCGCTAACAACGTGCTATCTTCCCAGAGGAGACGGAGCCGAGCTGCTCCCTTTGCTCTTTGACAGGGATAATAGATTTAATTGGTAGCTTGTTTCCACTCAAAGTGTCTGTTAGCATTTCAATTATAGGCTCGTTTTCTGGGCTCTGGAGCTCAGAGGTAGGAGCTAGCTCAGGGCTAAGAGGAACCTGGGCTGGGCTGTAAGAGCAAAACCCAAAGGGACATTTTACCCTGATGATAATCTAAGAGAGGGAGAAGGATGATTTAAGGTGGCAAAGGGAAGATGAGGCTCTCACTGACAAAGGGAATAGTTATGATATATAGAGCGAAGAAACAGTTTGAAACAGGAAGGATCAATAGGGAAATTTGCTGCAAAGATTGTTAAGAGTCTGCCACAAGGGAAGTGTTGATTGCTCAGATAATCAGCTGGGATTCATCATGCAGAGATTCTCTTCAGGGATGCAGATGGCAGCTAGTTACTAGCCAGTGACTTTTTCCCTGCAGTTTCTGCAGGAAATGAGTTGATGGGTCTTTGGCCAGGCAGAGGAGAGGAATGGGAGAATTTGCTGTTTTCAGAGGCTAGCAAAGACCCCTCTTCCTTACATTACAGTGCACCTTAGTGCAGGGAGGTCAGAGCCTTGGCTTGCCCCCCAGGCACGTTCAAGTGGGCAAAGGTGGCAGAGAGGGTGTCAGCATCCTGAAGTACTCCCTGGCTGGCTCGATTCTGCCTCCAGCCCAGACATCCCTCATCCAGGTCCAAAAGCTTGATAACGACGTGGGAAAGCCACCCGTGGGATGGTGGCAGAGACAGAGCTATCATTAATAAGCAGCAACAAAGGGCCCAGTCCAGCTCTCCCAGACTCTCTGCTGGCTCCAGTGGGAAGGAGGAGGTCCATAACGCAACGTGAGCAAGGAGTTTTCCTGAGCAAATGGCCCCATGCACAATTTCCAAGGTCAAGATCTTTCATTTAACACTTTGCCAATCTGAGCAAATCAGGCCAGCTAATCCTGGGCCATATGGATCCTAAACCAATTTTACTGCTAAAAACACTGTGAACTGGTCTGAAGTCTGTTGTGTCTTTGACATCCTTCCAACAAGCTCATCTCATTTTATGCCTAATGCTTTGGGGAGGTGACTCGTCTGTACTGCCAAGAGAAGAGGCTCATTAAGAAAAGGCCAGTTCTTCCCAATCTAAACTCTGTGCACATAACCCGGCTGGTTATGTGTTGCTCACTGCGACAATCGCAATGCACGTCCCTCCTCGCAGCAAGCTCCAGCCAGCGAGCGCTGGAAATCAATGGCAGTCACGCTAAACTCTGTCAATCTGAAGAGACAGCTGTAAACATAGGGAAAAGAAAGATTAAAAACAGCCTGGCTAAATCCCAACTCCTAAACACTACAGGCCAGTCTGCCTGCAGTTCCAGTTGCTTATATTTCAAAATGGCTAGAGACACCTAAAGTTGGAAACACAGGCCCTTGATAAACTGATCTATTGCCTTCTCAAATCCTTCTCTTTGAAACTGAGATGGGTTGCAGCAAGGTAGTTTGGTGCTCTCGGACTCTCCCATAGCACCTTCTACAGCTTAGTGCACCGATAGTAATGAAAAAAAAATATATGCACACACATATATACACACATACATATATATGTGTGCATGTATGTTTTCCTATCTAGACCATATAAAGTATATGAGCTGCTGCCACACCATGCTGGAAGGGAAGCCTGAGATGTTTAGCAGATCCAGGAGATACTGATGCGGAGCAAGGCTGGCTGCTCCTCGGGCAGTATATACCAGCTCTTCACACGACAGGCCAGCCCTATCTTTCTTTTTAATGCAGACCTTCTCCAAAAACACCCAAGATTTCAAGCACTCGCCACTCCTCTTCAAGGAGTAATCACTCTCCAAACTGTACAAACCTTGTTTATTTTATATTGATTAATATTACAGCTCGTAAAAGGCTGATAGATGCTGTGAGTGAAGAGACCTGTTCATTATCACTTGGGGTCCCTTAAAGACTCATTAATCATTCAAGCCTGGCTGCACAGCTCCGAGTCATTCGGAAAGCCCAGAGGCTCACGGGATAGCAGGAGAAGGCTCATTAAGGCCTAAAATTATTTAAAGGCGCCCTTTCCATTTTGCGCTCTGCTGGAGAAGACTATTAAAGCCTCGATATCAGCTAGCAGGCGCGCGCCTGAACAGGGTAAGGAGCCTGTGCTCAGCCCTGGCTGCCGGAGGAGGCAAGCAGCCAGGGGCTCACAGTTGCCAGGACAGAGAAGGGCTAGGGCCAAGCAGTGCCCATGGGCTCCATAGCACTCTCCCTGCGCAGCCCACCAGGACCCAAACCCTATGTTCATCTTGGCTCTGTGACATTATCTGAAGGGAGGTCACACCTAGGCTCTGCCTGGAGGGAACCCGGTGCCAAAGTGAATTGCTTTCCAGCCTATCCAAGTCCTCTTGTGCAAGGAGGGCTTGTTTGCCTGGGCACTGGTGCAGCAGAGGTGCTAATATGCGATGACTGATGTTCAGAGCATCTCATGGGATTCAGCCAGCATCTTCTCACATCCAGAAGTGGGCAGAGCTCATGGTCCCCTCCAGCAGGTGGGAGAGCCAAGGCTCGGAGAGCCAGGAATGGAGAGCACAGAGAAGAGGGGCGGAAGAAGAAAAGCAGAGCTAAAGCACAGAGAACAGCCCAAGAAGCGGGGTGATGGGGGGGGTGAAGGAGATTGGGGAGGGCCTTCATGAGCCCAGTGCTGTCTCTGGCTTCCAGGCAGGCTGCAGCTACCCACCAGTCCTGACCTGCACGCTTGTCATGCCCTACGGAGCTGCTCTCCTTCTGTCCTCTCAAATGAGCTCAGGCAGGAAAGTGCTACGTCTGGACTCACTGTGGCTCAAGCAGGCAAGGGAAGGCCCCCAAGAGTGGCACAGTACGTGGCTTTGAGGCAGCAGCGCTCACCAGTGCCTGCTGGACATGGCCACCAAGCCCAGGCTTCTGCCCTGGCCACAACAGAGGTCCTGCAGGCCTGCCCCAGGCTGGATTCCCAACTCTGGCTCCTCTGACCTTCCCTTCACACACTGCTCTGGAGGGGCAGAGCATCCCTCACCCATGCATATCCACAGACCCCCTTTGAATTGCTGCCCCTGACGAGCCTTCTCAGCTGGAGGATGGGATGCAGGAGGTAGCTGAGGATGCCCTGTCCTGGCAGGGGGTTACTGGGGACCAAACCGCCCAGGGGGAGCAGGGGCAAGGATTCGACTTCAGGGGAGTCTCTGGTTGTGCCCTGCTCTGCTCAGGCACTTCCTAAGTCAGGGGCCCTGTAGTGGGCAGCTGACCCTTGGCAGATGCTGCATTGCTGAGCTCACGGTCACGGCAGCCTGCGCTGGGATTGCTGCTGAAGCTCTAAGTCAGCAGTAGCCTTTCCAGGCAGAGGGAGCTCCCTGAAGAGGAGGGCAGGGAGGAAGTGACTGGAGGACTTTTGAGGCCCAGCTCCAGCTGCAAGAGAGGTACTGCAGGCCAGGTTTGGTTTCTTCAGGCCAGCCCAGCCACCAAGGACCTGGAGGGGTGACCACTTCTTGGCAGGCTGTAGGTGAAAAGGGCTAGAGATGTCTCGGTGCAGCTCCCAGCAGACTAAATATTTCTGCCTCTAGGATTTCACAAATTTGTGGCAAAAAAGCTCCCAAAAGATAGCCCAGCACAGACACTGCGCCGGTCCCTTTGAAGCTCAAGATGTGTTGTATCTCACTGGACACAGCTAGCCACTCTCAGGAGCCCTATGCTCTCCATGCTGCTTCTCACACCTGCCCTTGACAGCTTCTGAGACTGCCCCCCTCCACAGTGCTCGCTCCCACCTGGGCATGGCACAATGGTGGAGGATGCACAGTTTTGCCAGGCTGGGGCTAGGGCCGTTCCCCAAGAGCAGGCAGCAGGCTCTAGCATAGCATGGAAACATGCACAGGTGAGCTCTGAGCACGCAGCTCTCCCATGGTGCTGAGTCCCATGTGGGCCTGCACCATTTCAGAAACAGTAAAGCTTTCCCCAGCACCTCTAGGCAGGTCAAGCTGCAGGCCCAGGCCACCGCAAACTCTGCTGCATGGCAGGATCCACCAAAAAAGCTGCAAGTTCCCCTTTGCTTCCTGATGTATACACATTGCGTAGGTTGCCCGACCATCCTCGCTGCAGCCACTCCAACCCACTGCCCCTGCTGGCTGGCTCTCTGTGGAGAGAATGCACTTCTGATTTTGGGATACTGCTTCCTAACTGCAGCTGTCTGGGGATGGCAGAGTGAAATGGGTGCTGGTGCTGCCCTGGGAGCACTTCCTCCCCTGCCCAGCCATGCAGACAGGAAGGTCTCAGGAGAGACTCTGCAAGCTTTTGGCATCGCTGCCTCTCTGCCCACCACAGCCCAGCCCCATAGCATCGCCAGAGGGGCCAAAGAATCGCAGCGTGTTTCACTCTGACATCTCTCTCTCTGCCTCCTGAGCCCTTAGGTTGCACTGAAGCCATGTTTTCCAGATTTTTTTCCTTGCAAACATCGGGGTAGAAACAGAAAGAAAGAATGAGTGAGCTGGGAGTGTGACAGAGTGTCCCTCATCTCCTGGCACTGGGACCTCAGGAAGGACCTGACCATCGGCTGATGGAAAGGAGAGCCTTTGTCCTGAAGAACCTCTCTGGCCTTCCTGGACAGCAATCCCACTTCCTCTGGCTCTGCTCCAGCAGCACAGCTCTACCATTGCCCCAAATGCTCTCTGTGGCCACCGGCGCTAGCCCAGTGCAGGTGTCCCCATGGGTCCCTCTGCCAGCCCTGTGAAGGGTGACCGGTGGGCTGTGGAGATGGCTCTTTGCAGGCTCTGCTGCAGCTCCTTGGCCTGCACACCGCCACTGTGTTGGATGTGTTGCCAAGGCAACAGACAGGCGGCGCGTGCGAGGGATGCATGCGGGGATGCAGTTCGGGCGAGCGTGTCTGCAAGCGAGACGGTGGCGCTAAGGCAGAGGGTGTGGTGATGGCTGGCTGTTGTGGGTGCCACCACCTCTCAGGCCCCAGGCACTTCCCCCACCATGGACACCCACTGAGGCCAGTACATGCCCTGGCTTCTGCCTCTCCAAAGGAGGTGGTGGGCCCTCTGCCCACTTTCATGCTCCAGATAAGGTGACCACACTGTGTCCACACCCAGCCCCAAGTGGATGGGGGTGGCACAAGGGTGCAGGAACGTGCAGCTCCCCACACGATGCACCCACAGGGGGGATGTGCCACACCCCTGCTGCCAACCAAGCCAGGGACCCTGGCTGTGAGACTCACCTCCAGGACCCTGCCGCTGATGTACCGGTCACAGGTCTCGCACTTAATGCCGAACTGGGCATGGTAGTCGGACTCGCAGTATGGGACACCATCCCTGCGGGATTCAAGGGAGACGGGGCATGAGAAGGGGTGAGACGGGCCAGGTGGCTGAGGCATCTCCCCTCGCGTGCACTGCCAGAACCCCCCCAGCACCCAACGCAGGGCCCCCGCCACCGCGTGCCCACAGGGCGTTCGCCAGGCTGCTCCCTGGCTGCCCAGGGAAAGCCCCAGGACTGACAACGCCTCGCGTGCCAGCCGGGGCTGCGAGGGGAGCGGCACTCACTTGCTGATGTACTCTCCGGTGAGGATGATCCCACACGTTTGGCACTTGAAGCAGCTGACGTGCCACTGCTTCTCCAGGGCCAGGAGAGACTGTCCTTGCTTGATCTCCTCCTTGCAGCCTGCGCAGTCTGGGGAGACAGCGGTAAGGGGAGCGTGTGAAACGCCCCGAGCTCCCCACCAGGAGGGCTCAGCAATGCTGTGGGACTACCCACGAGCTGCCCGTGTGTGCCGGGCGACTCGGGGGTACCCTGGCCACTTCACGACCCCTGCGCGAGGCAAGACAGGAAGCGGAGCTGTGGATTAGAGCGTGAATGGCAGGAGATGAACGCACACGTCCATGCTAACCGGCTCATGCGCTCACCCATGAGCAAGCGCATCCCTCATGTGCTTAGAGGAAAGCCCTGCACCCCTGCCCCAGAGGATCTCCTTTTCCAGGAGATCAGCCTGTTGTAAACATGCTGGCCCTGATGCTGCTCCACAGGCAGCCCCCCCGGGATGACTCCTTTCCTCTGCCATTTCCCTGGATGGGAATATATCACCTTGGCATGTTCCCTTGTCCAGAGATTTGGCAGATAAAGCATCAGGCCATGGAGTAAAGTCTTTATTGGGGGTGGGATCACAGAGCAGCACCGGACCACCCTGGTGAGCCACCCCGGCTGAGCACTGGTGACGGCAGCCCCGAAACAGATCAGCGTTTCCCTTCCAGGCACAAGCTCAGCCCAGGGGTACCGTGTGGGCTGCTAGTGCTGTGCTGTCCATGACAGGTTCCCGGGTGGCTTTCCTCCAGGGGCAGGAGTGGTGGGAAACGTCTGGCAGCAAGTGGAGCAAAGGAAGGGCTGTGCTCTCCAGCAGCCGCATCCGGCCCCGCTGCAGTATTTACGAGACTCCCTTCCTTTCCCCATTTCCCCTGGCTCCTGTCAAGGCTGGGAGCAGGAAGCACATGGGCCTTGGATCCCTGACCTTGACTCCTCCTTGTCCTTTTCTCTCTCTGGCCTCTGGTGCAGCAGGTTTTCAGGCCCACAGAGCTGGATGAGGTTTCTCCTTAACTCCCTCACTGCCACATCCCTCGCTCCCGCAATGCCCGTGGAGCACAGCAGCACTTTGCAAGCTGCCTGAGCAGGCAGGCTTTTCTACTACCTCATCCTTGGGAAAACGTGCACCCAGTCCCTGCCTGCTGGGCAAAGCTGGGGCACCATTTCTGACCCCATGCCTCTAGCAAAAAGCAGGCTGGCCAGCTCAGCTCAGCCAGGATCCATTCCTTGTTCCATGCAACTGCCACGGCCCTGGTTTTTGAGTTGCTCTCAGCTCTGGGGCCGCAGGGAGAGGTGCAGCATCCTCTTTCTAGGGACAGTCTCCTCTGACAGGAGAGTGTGGGCTCTAGCATCAGCAGCTTCCAACAACCACCCCGCAGAGGTGTGCCTCCCCTACCAGTGCCACCCGAGGAGGAGCATGCCCAGCCAGCAGGAGGGGAGAAGCCAGCAGGCTCACATACATCTGGATGCTGCCTGCAGCTGCCCATGAATAAACCATGGTGCCCTCAGGCAACCTTGCTCTGCAGGCTGGGGAGGAGCATCTGAGCACATTTCAAGAGGCGGGAATGACTGGCAGGGGATGGGCAGGGAGAGAAGAGGAGGCAAGAGGCAGAGCATGTGGCTGCCTGTCCCCTCCCCATGGCCAGGACCCTGCAGCTCAGGCCCCGTGACAGGGCAGGGTTTTGGTCACCATGCCGTGGCACAGCTCCTGGTTCTCTCTGCCTCCCATGATCTGCCCACATTAGGCAGCTTCCCTGGTGACTTGGAGGGCAGTGAAGGTGGGCATATGGGGACAGTAAAGCATGGGCCACATGTTAGCTTTCTGCAGTCCCCTCAACCTGGACACAGTCTCAAGCTACTCCCTCTACAAACAACAGCTCGACACCCAGGAGATGCTCTGCAGGCCACTATGTTTAACCTGGCAGCGGCCTGAGGCAGAGAGCCAGCTGCAAGGAAAGACTGTGGGGCAAAGCCTGTGAGATGGTTAAGAAACAACTTGGGGTAAAAACCAAGGCCATATCCCTCCATAAGAGCTTTTCTATTGCTCTTGCTGAGCTTTAGGTTGGGATCATCAGTGTGAGGGAATAAGCATTCAAGCTTTTCAAAGCCAGCCTGCTCGTCCAGCCAGTGAATAAAACTGGCCTTGAGAAAGCCTGGCGTGTGTTCCCATGGCTGTCATTCATGGACAGAGAGAACGTGGAGCCCAGCACATAAGGAAAGCCAGGACCCCCATGATGGGCAGCCCGTCTCTAGCAGCTGAAAGCACGAGATCCAGCAGTATCCTGCTGCTGAGATCTGCTCTCTCATGTGACAGCAGTAACTGGTTCGTACCAAGGCACACAGCGGCAGCGGGCAGGCCAAGGGATCTCCTGTCTTCTCCTGGCAGCGCTGTCTCCTTGGAATCCTGGCAGGGCTGGGATGTGCAGCACCCATCAGGAAAGCAACCTCCTCTCCTGCCTCTTGAAAAACCCACATCTAGGCACTGCCGCAAACCAAGCTGTCTCCAAAATTTCTCCCACTGCCTCAGTCAGCAAAAGGCTTCATGGCAGCACCCGCCCAGGTCACAAACAGGCCAAGGGAGTTTCCGAAACCAGCAGTGAACATGCATAGTGTGAAAAAATCTTGGGTGGAGCTGAGGGATTACCCTGTTCCTCCTGCAAAACCTCCATGAACACTCATCTCTCCATGCTGCGCTGCATGCTGGTCCTGAAGCCCTTGCAGGCACTGCCTCAAGCTCTGGTCTGTCCTGGTGACGGGAGCTGTGCCCAGGAGTATCCCAGCCTTGGTCAGTATGCAGGCTGAGCAGGAAAAGACTGAGCTGTTACCTTATTAGGGAACTCAGGAGAAAGGCCTTCCAATAGTTTAAAAATATTTAAGGGATACGAAATACAAAGCCGACTGTGCATCACAGCCAGGGTGGCTGGTTTTCATGAAGGCCCAGCCAAGCCCAGTATCATCAGCTGGGAGGGAACAGTCACCAGTAACCCCGATAACCGCGAGGATCAGGGTCTACGGAAGGCTCTTGTGATAACTCTCCTTGCAGACATACGTTGAGAACGGTCAACTTACGGCTGGGCCCGTGGATCTTGATAGGTTTGGTGCTGATCAGAGAATGGGAGCAGTTTTGGCAGACGCAGTCCTTCCCACTGAATGTGACTTTGTCTCCTATGGGGAATGGCTTCCTGTGGACAAGGAGAAGGTGGCGACGTGTGAGATGCATGCTCCCCTCGATGAAGCTCTCTAGCTGCCCCAGGCTCACCCAGCTTCTCTGCTGCCACCTGCGAGGTTCTGCTCCTTCCCACAGGAGTGAGCGGGACCTGCTGCTCTGGGCCAGCCCCCTATGGGAGAGGAGCAGCCCCAGCACCCTTCTTGCACTCAGATGAGGGTGCAAGGGGAGGCAGCGAGTGTGCACACAGGCAGGGCTGGGAGGATTGATGTAGGTGTTAAGGTGGATCCCGAGGCTGTGAAAAGAAGGCTTGGAACCATTTCATTTTCTGTGAAGGATTTCCACTAAGAAAATGCAGCAGAGATGTCTACTGAGGTGCCAAGTTCTGGAGAAGGGATTGAGGGCAAATGAACGACCCCCTCCCCTGGTGCCTGACCAAAGGTTGCATATGGTAGTTCAGACCTTCACAGAGAGGGGGCTGCATGCTCTGCAGCCACGGCTTCAGCTCACCTGCACGTGCTGCATACGAAGCACTTGGGGTGGTACGTCCTTCCCAGGGCAGAGATGACCTCCCCGGTGATGAAGTCCCCACAGCTGTCACAGCGGGTCCCATAGAGCTGCTGGTAGTCATGGGTGCAGATGTACTCCTGGTTCTTAAAGAAGAAGCCCGACTGGGCCAGGTCGCAGCCACACACTGGAGAGGAGAACATGCACCCATCGGGGGGCAGTGTCACACCAGTGCCCCTCTGCCACCTGGCCTCTTCCCACCCACGCCACTGAGGGTGCCCACAGCCGTGCAGGACAAGTGAGGCTGTAGCAACGCCAGCACACTCAGCCGGGGCCAGCGCTCCTCTGTGCATTCACCATTTCTGCAGCCGTGCCACATGCTGCCTGAACTCATGGCAGCCTCACCGCTCACACAGGCAGGTCAAACGCGAGGAGGCTCGACTTGCAGCCCCTAGAACTTGTAGGACACCCTTGAGGACAAAGTTTTTTGCAGGCATCTCAGAGGGTTCTCCCTTCCCAGTAGGCCAGCTGGGGACCTCCCCCAACACCACAAGATGTCAGTGTTGGGCCGTGACGGGGTGCAGAATGGGGCCGACAGAACAGCAAGGGCTGGGCGTCCCCAGAGGAAGCCCCAGGGCTGAGAGGAGAACTGGCTGGAGCCTGCACACCTCGGTGCAGACAGCCTGGGAAGGCCTGTGGCATCCCCTCCTAGCCCCTGAGAGGACCTGTGGCATCTCCCTGGCCCCACAACACCTGGACAGGGTTTGTCTTCCCTCAGGCTTTCGGGAAGCCAAGAGCAGGACTGCATGGTGTTGGGCACCTGCTGTTGGGTACAGCTGTGGCACGGGCCATCTCCAGGCCAAGCTACTTGCTGCATGGCTGGAGGCCTCTCTGGAGGCTGCAGCACCACAGTCATGGAGCTGGCCACGAGGTGGGGGCCTGCAGGGCGCTGAGCACTTGCTGCACTGCCCACCTCCTTCCTCTCTGCTTTACTCCTTGGGCCTGCAGGCATGTGCAGTTCCCAGGACACAGACAGCTGGCTCCTCCTTCCCTCCCTGCAGAGCACCCCATGGCACTGCTCTGCTCCTCCCCAGAGCTGCTGGCAAAAGCCCCGGCGGGTATGGGGAACAGGACCTGCTGCTTTCGGCAAACAGGGACTCATTGTTTCCCCCAAACATGGATGGACAGATAGACTGGCCACCAGCTCTGGGACAGCATCAGGAAGCACAAACAAGACCACTGGAGGCAGGCTGTGGCCCCATTTGCTCTGGGACCCAGAGCACATCTCTGCAGGCTGTACCAGCTGCAGGTCAGGCTCACAGGGCAGCAGAACAGGGGGTGGCTGCAGCGTGGAGGTGAGTCCCAGGCTGATGTGGAGCTGGGAAAGCAAGTCTGAGGTGACAGGGGGTACGAGCTGTGAGGGAAAGTGAGACAGGAGGATTTCTGCTCATTATTTATTCCCTTTCACTTGGAAATCAGGCAGCAAACACTGCCAAGCTTTCCCTGCCGGCTCCACGTCCCCTTTGAAGCTAGCGACTGTCTGAGCTCTTTGTCTGGATGAGCAGTTTTCTGCTCCTTTCAGACACTCGAACCAGGGAAGAGGGCAAAGGGGGTTAGAGCAGCAGGCTGTGCACGTGTCGGCCAGCCCTGAGGGCACCTGCATGCCCACGTGGAAGTCCAGGGCTGGCTACATTACAGGGAGGGCACAGGGTGAGGAGGCACCCATGGGCTCCAGCAGGGATGGGGATGACCCCAGAGAGAGAGTCGCCTGCAGCCAAACTCTATTGCTGCAGGAGGAGCAGCAAAGTAGTGGCCAAGGGGACAAAGATTTACGCCCTACTTAGCATAAGGTGATGGGAGCTCAGGAGACCAGAGACCTTTAAAAACCCTAGTAATTTGATGCTTTGCAGTCTACAGAACCAGCCATTGGCCTTCATAAGACCAGCTGCTTTAATAAACATACTAAGGAGCCTTTAAGCATCAGTTCTGGGCTGTTAGCTTTAATGGCTCCTCAGCTCTCCTCTTCCTGCATACAGCCACAGGGAGGTCATGAGCAACTTCCATCCTCTGCAGAGGGGATCAGGAGCCTGGAGCTCACCAGGTGAGCAGCAGCATGGCCCCGTCCCCCTGCCAGGAGGGGACAGGTCCTGCCACCCTCCCAGCATCAGTAACCCCTGCAACCCTCCAGACCCTTCGTGCCCCCAGGACTGCCTGGGCAGGGAAGGCTCCTACCCATGCCCAGTTCACCCATCAGATGCAGAGGGCCCCGGCCAAACTCTCTGCTGTTTCTGCAGGCCCCAGAGGCAGCCTAGCCCCAGTTACAGCACACAGCATTGCAGCACCTCCGTCTCATCCCTGCCTGCCAGCACGAGGGTGGAAGTGATCAGTCACCCACCCCCAGCTCCAGCCCCGTCACGAGCAACGCAGGGCTCTCCCCCACCTTGCTTTGCCTCCACCAGGCTTGCAACAGCTCCTCCTCACTCGTTGGGGGCAGGCAGCTGATGGACGTGGGTGTCCCTTGGATCACACATGGACTGTGGGTGTGTCTGGGGCTGGCACAGCACAGGCTGGCAGCATTCGGGCAGCCCGCGGTAACTGTGCCCCAGGTCTCAGCCACTCCAGTCATAGACCAATCTGCTGGTTTTGGTGTGGCACGGGGCATCGTTGGCCTTGTGCCACTGCCAGCCCCTTCACCTCTCCACCCGCACGGCATCAAATCTCCCCTATGGGAACGGCCACCCCCAGGGGTGCAATCACATCTCCATGGGCCAGGCTAGGCTCTCCCTGGCCCTTTCCCTTCCAGACTACACACAGGACCTGTGGGGCAGCATGGCCATTGGCTCTTTGGGCTGTGCCCTCCTACCTTGGCAGGTGAAGCACCTGATGTGGAAGTGATTGCTCTGGACGCGTACCACCTCCCCCTTGCACGTGTCTCCGCAGCGATAGCACTGGATAACAGTGGAGCTGCTCCCAGGGGTATACGGGTTTTGCTGATAGGGAACTGCTGGCAGAAAGGAGGGAGAGAAAAACAAGAGAGAGGAAGGGTCCATTAGCATTCAGGGGACAACCTGGCTGGCTGGGAGTCACAGCACTGACCTCAGCGTGGCTGGAGAAGAGCCCTGCTGCGACCACGATCACGACAGTGCAGCCAGATGTTAGGTACAGCTAGAGAGAGGCTACATGGCAAAAGACAGCCAAAAACATGCCACTCCTCCTTGACTCTGACCCAGGCTCGCCTCACTTCTGTGTATCTAGCAGGCTGGGCTCTCCTTGTCCCCATAGGAGAGGAGACACCAATGTTTGGCTCACAAGTAACCATCTGCAGGCTCAAGTGTTGTTTCTCCCACGTTCCTTTTTGGGGTCCCCCAAATCCAGGCAGAGCTCCCCTGGCACTCTTCTATATCCAAAGCAGGACACAGAGGGACTGCAAGCTGCCTGGGTCTGCTCAGCCCATAGTCAGTCCTGGGTCACTCTTGGTGCAGCCAGAAAAACACCAGTAAGTGCGAATCTGGCAGCAGGACAGGAAGGGACTGTTACTTTTTGGAGTCTCTCCTCATTTGGTTAGGAACTGGATAAAGAAGTCATTTCCCAAAGAGCTTTCAAGGATAACAGCATTTGAGAGGTTTGGCCCAGGCTGGACTTGCAGCTTCTTGGTGAGCCAGAGCATCCCAGTGCTGCTGCTCTGTGGGGAGCAGTGCTGCAGAGCGTGCAGCCTCCGCACACGAGCCCGGGGGCTGCAGCTCAGGGGAGGGCAGTCCGATCCCTGCAGTCAGCAGGATGGGCTCCCCATGGAAACCAGTGCTAAGGAGACCAGCCAAGTTTTTCTGCTGCAGACAAGAGAGGGAGGACAGCCTGGGATTCACCTCCACTCCACAGTCGTCCTCCCACAGCTCTGCAGACCACCGTGAAGGGCCGATACACCGCAACCTCAGCCCACGCTCCAGGGGAGGAACTGTATGGAGCAGGCGGCCTTTCTGCTGTCTCAGCACCATCCCGAAATACATGCGCATACAGAAAACACTTCGAAAAACAGTTCCTGCCTTCCCTGGTTTCAGAGTTGCCAATACATACGCAGCTCGTGGGAGCTTGGGGCTGCCTGTCACGGAACTAATCGCTGCACTCAGGGGCCAAGCCGTAAAGGACTTGTTTGCTCTAAGATCCCACAGAGAGCTGTGATCTGGGCAAGACGACCTGTAAAGGGCAGTGATTTCAATAGACCTGAGATTTGTTGACCTAGTGCTGAACTGCCTTCCCAGGAACAAGAGAAACAGTTGATTGAAACCTGGTACGCAAATAACCTTCCAGAGCAGGGAGGAAGGGGTACAAAACAGAAGAGATCACTCATCAGAAAGGCTCTTCATTCACCGTGGGGCAGATCGTATGACGGGAAAGAGAATCAGCCCATTATTGGCTTAAAAGAGCAAAGCAAGAAAGAAAAGTCAAAGTGACATTAGTGACTGCCCCACAATAAAATCCCATCCCATGTGCCAAGTGCCCAGAGAAGCCAGTTTGCCCATCGCCGAGATCAGTTCTATGGACATGCAGCGCTGCTCTCCGCTGCTGCCTGCTGGGACATGGCAATGCCAAAACAGGCTAACCCTCTCTGAGCACCGCTCCATCCCTTGGATTTATGGAACTGCGGGACACGGATTGGAGGCTACTGCCTCTCAGCTGCCTCGTGAAGCCTGACTTGAGGACCGCAAGAAAAGCCCAGAAGCTTTCCTGTGAGTCCCCCCTTAAGCCCTGCTGTGAAGCTCAGGCTCCAGACTTGGAGTGAACTTCCAAGAGCTCCTGGGATTTCCTTCCTGTGCACGCTCTTGTAGGCCAAGAGCTCTCACAGGCCAGCAAATGCATTTTAAGTACTAAAGGGTATGGTATCAGAGGTACTATAAGATGGGAGTCAGACCTGGAGTTCAGACCAGCAGAAATACTCTTTTCTGTGTCTGGCTCTAGATCTAAATTACCTTGAGGTCCCAAATACGATGAAGAACTTCTGTAACGGGGAGCAGGGTGACCTTGCCCATGCTTTTGCAGGTATGTTTTGCAGGGAGGTGCAAGCTCTGGGAACATGGGCTCCAGGACCTTCTGCAGCTGCTGCTGGTGGGAGCCTGTGAACTCTACAACAGCCTTGCAGCATCCTGGGGAAAGATCTGGGGCTGATCCCACCAGGATCCTCCCAAGGCTGGGCCTCCCGGCTATGCTGGCCTGTTGCAATAGATGATGAATCTCTTTGGTAGGGGTCTCCAGCAGAGCAAGAGTTACAGCACTGAAACTTTTCCTCCCACACATCCCATGCTCGCACCCTCTCGGAGAACAAAGTAGAAGCCAAGCCCTGGGACACAGCCATGTCAGTCTAGAAACCTTGGCCCAAAAAGCTCAAGGGAGGTGGGGAGAAAGTCCGGGAATTAATCAACTTTTAAATAAACATTAATCAAAAAAAATCAATGGCAGAAAACGCAGGCCTCACTTGTTCAGGGCTTCTGGTCTCTAGGGGAAACTTCTTGGTGTCCATAGCAACATGCTACCAAACCCCTGTGCTGACAGGTTTGATGGGAGAAAAGGAAGCAGAAAAAAAAAAAAGAGTTTAGGATTGAAAAGGTGCTTACAGCTCTATTACACCTCTGGCAGAGATTAAATCAATACAGTTGCTCCTGATTTGCACTTGTTGAGGTGGGTCAGGACTTCTTAGGGCACCGTTGCCCTCCCGCCTGCTGGCCTTGTTCAGCATTAAGCAGAAAGCTCCCTGATTTGCAATTAACCTCAGGCCCACGTTGGAATTTTTCTCTGGGAACATTAATGCATTGTTTTGCTGGGGCTCTCCTTGTTTTTGAGCAGCCAGCTGCCCGCCTCGTGGCCTCACGCAGGAAGTATTACGCATCACAGCACCCCTGAGCAGAGGGACAGCTGATCAGGGTAAAGCTCATTACCCCAAAATAATCCAGTAATAATGTAAGTAGCATTAGTGACCTTGCAGGCCGAAATACAGCAGCTGGGGTGAAGGGGTGGGAGCTGCCCAAGGAATGCCTTAATCTCACCCCAGTTTGTCCCTGTTCTTGCTTATCTGGCAAGAAATTAATCTGGCTTTGCAAAGTGATTAATGCATTTCTGCTCCCAAACGTAAGCACACAAAAGGCTACCCCAGGCTGGACTCTTCCGGGGCAGCCTCCTTGTGCTGGCTGGTGTTGGGTTGGGCTTGATCCACCGAGCACATCGCAGTGGCTCCCTCCTGAGGAGCTGCCGCAACTGAGGCTGGGCGCTGAGCTGCCACGTGGGCACGCGACAGATTTCCCACTGATCCAGATTAAGGTGGCACCTCCGGTCATGGATCGGAGCGATCCTTGAGACAGAGAGCAATGGCCACATGCAAGCAAGAGAGCTCACGGCCTGAGAGGTTTGCATGGGGGTAAGATGGTGCCTCCAAACAGCAGCCAAAGCTGCGGCTGTAGAGAGGTGCTTGGTCCACAGGGAGGGCGGAGGGGCGGCGCACAAGCATGGGGCCATCATCAGCCCAGGAGGAAGGCGTGAGGAGCACCAAGTGACCCAGCCACTGACCACCTCTGGGTTCCTGCGCCGCGTTACAGGGCAATCCCTCTCCTTCCTTCTCAAAGCACCCACCTTCCGTTTCGGGAGGGTCAGCTTTGTTTGTCTTCCTGTCCAGCCTTCCTGCCCCAGGCGGCAGCGTGCTGCGTACACCGCAGCACAGCACCTGGCCCTCCACCGATGAGCGGTGGGATGGGGAGGGAGCGCTGCACCCTCATGCTGCCTCTAAAACCCTTTAAGCCTGCAGGGAAGGGGGACAGATTGGAGATCATCGTCTACCTCAAAGATGATGCAAATCCAGCCCGGTACAGCGAGGAACAGGCTGGCCCCAAGCAGGTGTCTGTAACAGGGTTCAGCTCATCACACCATGCTGCCCCCAGCCCGGAACAGGGCTGGCAGCCGGCAGCATGGTGACCTGGGCTCAGAGGGTACTCCAGGCATCAGGGTCAGCAGCCCCAGCCCTGCCAACCACCCGAGAGCCCAGGCACTGCTCATTTCTAGACCGCACCAAGCAGAGGAGACGAGCTGTAACAGGAGCTGCTGCCCACAGGGAAAGGAGGGGGGAAGGCAACCGCACCACCGGTCGCAGCTCACACAGGGTGGTCTCGTGGCTGAACGGCTGGCATCAAGCAAGCACCACTGGCTGCGAGAGCACATCTCTCCCCTCCCACCCCAGCAGCCCCACATCCCCAAGCCGCCAACCCCGCTGGGGGCAAGCCAGGACCGATTTTACAGGAGCACAAGCTGCAAGGAACAGGAGACCAAGGGGCATTTCTAAGACTCACTCATTGTCCCTTACTGGGATAAGGCCCAGTCCTGCTGGTTTTCCTCTACCCACCTCACTCCCTCCTTTAACCTGTTAGCCCTCCAGGAAGGTCTATTAGGTAGAAACTGCTGCAGGTGAGTTTTGCATCATTAGCAATAGGTAATTGCAAGTTCCCACCCAGCTTGGAGATCCTGCCTTGATGTGATGTTTGCTATCAGTATGTTTATGAGACAGCACCTCCGCAGGGGATGGGGAGGCCTGATTTAATTAATTACCAGTAATTAATATTTGCACAATACTCGGAGATCCACAGGTGAAGGGTCTGTGGAAAAGCAAAGCATTCAGCCTTTAATTAATAACAAGAGGCGGTACCACCGTGGGAAGCTGAGGTGGGTGCGTGCCAGCAGTGTGGGAGGGGGCTGTCGCTGGGTCTGAGCGCTGGCACCGTAGCACGGCTGGCACGTGCAGCACGGGCATGACTGCGTGGGGCTGCCCGCGCTGCTTAGGAGATGTCTCGGCCGGGCACCACGGGTATCAGCATGGGGCTGGACCCCCTGCTGAGGCCACTTCTGAAGGGGGCTGGGGCAGATGCTGGAGGGCGAGGGGGATGCAGCAGCGGTGCATCAGGGCTGGACGATGCCTTCGGAGGGCTCCCAGCGCAGTCCTGGGGTTACCAGCCTCCACATAGATGAGCC